TTTGGTTCAGTTTATGGTTCAAGATTGATCCTTGAAAATATGATTTTCTAAATAGGGAATACGATTCCCAATTGAAGGGAGAGATAAATGTTTTGAAATTCGCCCCTTATTCCGCAATCTTTGGGCGTCCATAGAATGGATCTCTCATCCCTTCAGATACTTTGATCCTTGAATGGGAGAAAGTAAATTGAAATGGTCTGATCATGTGCATACAAGATCATTTATGACACCTGTTAGGAAAAGTAATCTATTACAAGCTAAAAAGATTAAAAGAACTATGAGGGACAAACCAAAAATAATGATTTGAATAAAAATAATAACAAATTATTTAAGTGCACATGATTTAATGATGAATATGACACTGAATATAAGAGAATGGCAAAACAGGATTCGCGTAACCAGCCCAATATGATTGGGACAAGGCTTAAAATAATGATGATGATTACAACAACACAAGTAATTTTTAGTTTACTTTATTAACAAAATTCAATATTCAAAACCAATCCGGAATCGATCAAAATTCTATTTGACTCTAATACTGTATTTGGTTGCAGTGCAATTTTATTTGTACTAATATAAAAGCATGAGAGTGCAAATGAAATAGCACAAATTTTTATTTAATTTTATTTTGGGTTTTATTTTATACTTTTTCATGTCTTAATTTACTTCTTTTGTATTGCATTTAAACAAAATAATCTAAATTTTAAAACAAAATAAGTCAGATTTTACACTCAAATCATTTGCACTCCCATAATTTTGTACCAATGCCAATTTATTTGCATTACAACCAAATACAGCCTAAATACCAATAAATTGAATTTGTTAATCTCAAACCACTGCAATGCATATTTTAATTTTTAAACAGAATGATGTCCGAAACAATCAAGATGTAAGATATAAAATGGTTTCTCTGGAATCTATTGAGCGCGCCTTACACCGATCTCACAGTCACATTCATCGAGATGCTGTGAGATTGGTGTGAAGGGCACTTTGTGAGAAGAGGACATCCCGGCTCCTCTATTCTCTACCCAGACCTGCGGGCCGCGGCGAAAAAAAGCAAATAACGCCATTACGGTGCTTGTTTTTTTCTTGATAAGTGCTAACAACGGTGCTTGTGCAGACTTCTTCGGATCTTGTTTGTAGCAGATCTGGAATCGCATGTGCAATGTGCGAACAAATGGAGAACAATGGATGTTCTATTTTGTCCCCTTTGTAATCTATAAAGTCCCACCACCCATGTGGCTGCAACATGAGGGCCCATTTTTCAATGTATTGGGCTCATGGGCCAGACCTTTGCAAGATTAAACAAATGCTCAAGCCAATTGGAACCCTTACTGCTAAGGTGACAATTTTTTACCCAATCCGTTGAATCCATCCAATCTACCCAGTACTTAATTCATCCAATCCACTCATTTACTTGGTGGGTTGTGTGATCAACCCACCACTCAACTTATCCATTAAAATGGGTCGGGTTGGATTGGGTTGTGGATAATCATTGGGTTAATTATTAGAGATATAAGCATTATTAATTCTTTAGTCTTGTTTTTTAATTTTCTTCATTTGAATTAAATAATTTATAATTAATGCATTAATTTTCTATTAATTATTGACTAAATTTAGTTTTGTCTTGAATCAACACACTTCACCATATATAAATCCAAATCAAATTGACCCAAGTTCGAACCAGTTCAACGCGGCTTGACCCGATCCAGCATATACTGATCCTAAATCCGAAATAGACCCCAGGTGGGATGGTTCAGTATTGCTTGCTCTGCCCAGTTCAGGTCATATGGTCCAACCAGTATTCACAAAAGCCCGACCCGATACAAGCAGATCCGGCTCGACCCAAATCCAAAACGATTTCGGCGCGAGATAGTTCGGTGTTCGTGAACTTTGCTCGGTCTGGGCTGTCTAACCGACTAATTTCCACACAATTCGACCCGAATCCGAACCGACCCTATTTTACTTATATTGACCCGCTTCGGTCATTCGGTTCGGTCCCAAACCTGTGCACAAACATGATATGGTTCGATCCAAGTCAATCCACCATTGACTGAACCAGTCCGGTTTGGTCTGACCAGACTGATCCAGATCTAAATGGTTCAACCACCCTTCATGTGATTAACTCAAAAATAATCCACTTAGATAGTTCAAGTTGGTCTGACCGGTTTAAACCTAAGTGGTTCAGTCAAACCTGAAATCCGAATATAGTCAAATGGCTTTGCCGCTTGTATAAAAATAATATGTATGTAATGTGATTTGAACCTTCATTACTTGTGTAAATAGTAACTACCATTACCACCAAGCTATGACCAACTTATTTATTGAAAGAGAGTTAGTTTATTTTTTAAGTCTATAAATATAAAATTAATGGGTTTGAATGGGTTGGATTGGGTTAAAGCAGGTTTGAATTGAACTCAAACCATTTAATCTTATATAACTGGATTAGTAATGGGTTGGCGGGTTAGATGAATTGGGTTGAAGCTCAACCCAAACCAAACCCAATTCAACCCGCCCAATTGCCACCTCTTCTCAACAATGCAGAGTTGTATATCCTTAGCATCCTTGGTTCAGTGAGGAGATACCCATTAGGTCATTACCCAGTGAAGAGGATTTGAGCTGGACCCAAATTTGTCCATCCCCTTCCCAAAGAGGTAAGGAAATTTTGCTTTTCCACTTTCTTATCATGGGCTACAATTCAGTAGGGGCCCTGTCGCTGATGGAAATTTACACCAGCCCATTAGTGCTTTCTGATGGGACAGACGACAACACAAGCTGTGGCATTGTTGTTAACTAGATTCCAATTTCTCATTTTGAAAACAAAAATCGCCATCCAATTCTTATCTTCAACCCACCAGGTGGCCCCCGCCTTAGGTCCATTGATCTCTTGTTATTCAGCTGAGTTTCATAACACCGACTGACATGGGTTCTTTAATTTTTGTTTGCCTTGTTTGGTGGGGTGTAAATCCCACGACTTCTTTATCTCATCTACACAAAATTGATTCATAAGTTATATTCATGTGAGTTTCAGCTTACAGTATGCAATTTGCACTGTTCTATTAAGAGTGTGAATCAAAGTATGAAATTTTTGTTTGATTAAAATATTCCAATTTTTTGATTTGGTCTCTCTCTTATTAATGTCTATTGAATTATATTCTTGATTAGAATATATCTGTTTTTGAATTTGGTCTCTCTCTATAATGGTGACTTTATGAAGACATAAAATGTAATTTAAACCTATGTTTTCAACTCGTCGTTGATCCAATCGGTCAAACCGTTCAAACCATGCATCACCCAACCAAGATTCTGGGTCCGGTTCAGTCAAGACCCATTAGATGGTCAAAAACTGTTGACTTAGTCAAGAACCGTTCGACCTGGCCGGTTCAACCGTTGATTCGTTCGACCCGGTCACTGGGTTGCGGGTTGCACACTCAATGTATACAAACTTTCAGAGGCCATAACTTTGCACTCCAATGTCCGATTGGGGTGATTGTTTTTTATTTTGGGTAACTTTTTGAGAAAAACCCCCTTTTTTGGTTTCAAATTACAATTTTTAATATTTTTTATAAATAAAAAAAAATTAAAAACTGAGTTAAAAATATAAGTTAAATACAAAAAATACATATAGCATATTTAAAACATATTTATACATTATTTATTGATAAAATATATATTTATACACATACATACATATATACACATATATACATATGTATATAAATACATATATATGATGATGTGGAGCGGTCTGAACCATTCGACCCGGCCGGTTGAGCCGATGACCCAAGACCCAAAGGCAAAAACGGTTCAGGCTCTGTGTCGGTTTTTAAAACATTGATTTAAACTACTACATTTACACTCATTCAGATCCTTGTCATTAAGTCTTATATTTAAGATATGAATTCCTATTCTTTCATTGAATATTACATTAATTGATCATATTCAAAATATGTGTGACAAAGAATAATTGTTTTATGCACAATAGAAATAAAATACAAATTTAAAATTAACAAAAAAAATGTAGTTGTTTTCCTATTTGGTGGTGAGTCAACAATTCAACCTTTTGGGTCAAATGTGTAAATCTTTGACGTCATAAATAAATAATAATAAAATAAAATAAATGAAAAACATATAAAAGTAAAAAGAATGTAGAAAACATTTGGGCACATCTCTAATATATATATATATATATATATATAATTGTAGAAAAATTTAGAAACATATTTTTTACTATCATTATCATAAAAAATTGTTACGTGCAAAGTGAGGCAGGAAGCAACATAATTTAGTCCCCGTTTTATATGAGATATGGAGAAAGGTAGGTGGGAGGTGGTGCAAATTTTTCATAGTCTTTGGGATATAAAATTTGCACTTGTTAATGAATGCAATTGTGCAAAAGGATAAAAAATGCAAAATTTGTATTAGGTAAAAATATAAATGATAGTTACAAACAGACTGGCGCAAAATTTAACAAGGTCAAAATTTTATATCTGATTCAGATTTTACAATGCAAAAAAGCAGTGCCAAACCAACCAATTGGAGGGTAATGTCTTGAATTGCAAAATTTAACAAAGATGAAAATTTTGTATCTGAATCAGATTTTCACTGTAGAAAAAAGAAACAGAGACAAACCAACTAACTGGAGGGTAATATATTGAATTGAAAAATTTAACAAGGCAACAAATTTGTATCTGATTCAGATTTGTACTGCCCCTTTAACAAGGTGAAATTTTTATTTGATTTGCACTGCAAAAAAAAAACAGAGCCAAACCAACTAATTGGAAGGTAATGTCTAATTGCCATCCCCATTAAACATTGACATGATTGAATCATCGATGTGCTTTCACTCTCTTATTTGAATTTCGGGTAATGAAACAAATTAAGCATCAAAAAGGTCGAATTGTCTTGCCCATCTTCATCTTGATCGTTGCATTATACACCAAAATGCTACAGAAACGAATTCAAAAGGCCAAAAGATCTGACCCTAAATTCTAGAAGTTCAAATCTGTATTACACTCACACAAAAAAAATCTGTATTACATACTATTAAATTATTGAGAGAGAGAGAGAGAAAACAATAAGAACACAAGACACATGAATGTAGGTACACATGCCAAACGCCGATCCCCAGAAGAAACAATAAATAACTAGATATCCTCCATCTTCAGCTCTCATGAGAGAAATCCCAGGCACATCAACCCAATTCCGACGACCAAGCCCAATCCAACTGTCAACCCGTTGGAACCTGAACTTTCATCCGCGGACGACGGCCCCTTGGCTGATGATGCAACTGTTGCTGGTGAGGTCTTGTTGGATGATGCATCCGAGGGAGTTTTCGAAGGCTGTGGAGCCGATGCCTTAGACTTCACTCCGAAGAGCTCCGGCGGTAGCAACACCTTATCGATCTGGTAGACTGCCAATGGCGGGTCCTGCCGAAGAGCATTGTTGACTTGGGTGTTGACAAGCCCAGTTGAGACGTTCACTTGGTTGCCGCTGCTAGTGAAATTGAGACCCAGAGATCCGCCTTCGCTGCCCGCCTGAGTTCGGACAGGGTTGCTAATGGTCTGGAAGGAGACCATGCTTTGGTACTGAGGCAAGACGTGGTACAATATAAGCTCAGATTGATCCTGTGCGCTCAGTCCATTGAGCGTGCCGGCCTTCAGGTTGCTGAATGCATTGTCGGTGGGAGCAAACACTGTCAGGCCTTGAGTAGATGAGTTGAGCTGGTTCTCGATCTGGTTTATGACCTGTGTGGATCCCAGGAGTCTAATGAAGGTGGTGTACTGGCCGCCCTTGTCAAGGATGGCTGTGAGATTGATCGGGCCTGCTGGTGCTGGGGCTGGCGCTTTTTGGGCAACAGCGCCAGGAGCGATGAGGAAGAGAGATGGTAGCAAGGCCAAAAGAATGGTAGCCAGAGGAGCTGTGGAGGCCATGGTGCTTCTACTGCTTCTGCTAGTGGCCTGGTAGCTGGGTGGTGAGTGTTGGAGTAGGAGAATGGGTGGGGATTTATGGGATAAGACTGTGGAGAGTGGGAATATGTTGGAATGAGCTGTCTATAGAATTGAGTCAAGACAAACCTCACTCACCAAAGAGAATATCCAAGAGGAAAAATACAAAGAAAGACAACTATATATGTGATTTAATGTTATGCCCACCACCATTTAGGTAACAAGTAACTATTAATTCATGTGCACAAGTAATTCTTCTTACTTAAAGTACTTTACCTTTTTTCTCATTAATTATTGTTATTCTTTCCGTTCTTATCATCCTGCTTGTATTTTCTATTTTTTATTTTTTGATAGACATTCCTAAATATTTGTGATCTCTAGTATTTGAGTTCAATGTGTTAATGGGTTAATTCATGTCATTATCATAAAAAAAAATCAACTGTATAACTGTATAGGTTGACAGGTTAATTAATGGTCTTTAACATATAATATAATGAGTCAGTAGTCGACCCGAATCAGAATTTTGGCCGGGTCAAGGATGGGCTGAAAATACTAATATTGAGTTGAACCAATCACTCAATGTCAGGATGGTCCCTATGGGGGTTAAAATCGTATCATTAACACCAAAAAAAAAAAAGTAAAGAGAAAAAAGCAACTCCTTTCCCCTTGTGATAAAGTACATGATATTTTAAAATTAATAAAAACGTTGAATTAATTTATACATCTCTTTGGTTGGTAGGCTGCTGGTATAGAAAAATTAATGAAGGTAAGTTGTGCCCTGAGTACACTTTAGACTTTTGACAGGCTTGGTTATTGAGTGGTATTATTATTCATGGTTGCAAGGCTGGCACCACGTGGCAAGAGGGGTCATCTCATATTCCATAGATTATAAGTCTCACCAAACACAAACAACGGAATGGATAAAAATTATTTTAAGAGTATGAGGAATTATTGTCGAGACCCACCACTACGTACCCTGTTTATCTCATCTGCCAAGGACCAGCCATTTGATTTAGGCCTAATAAGTGGATGGATTTATTTTCGAAAACAGAAAAAAAATTTGGTCCTTTTAATTTATAAATTATAGGTATAATCACTTTTAACGGTGGATGATGAATTGATATCTTCTTGTTTTTTGTCAAAAGAAGCCAAAGTTTTCCCACAGGAAAATTGCCACATTAGCAAAACTAAATAATATGATTGCTGACATGACAATTGCTTTTTTTATTTTTGAAAACAAATTCAATTAGATTGCCAAAGAAAAATCTAGATTTGATCCTCACATCATTCTCACAACACTCCAAACTGTGCATTGAGAACATCACACCATCTATGAAAAAAATAAATAAGATGTTCCAAATTGAGAGCTGTAAGTATTGCAAGAAGGGTGTAACCAGGACAAATTTTGTGAGGACCAAATCGGGACACCTCCTAACAAAAGCAGAATAATCCAACACATTGATGACATTGATCAGATGGTATCAGGAACATTTATGCCAAAGAAGAAGTTGGGATTATAGTCCCAACTTTGTATGTAATTGTTTCTTTATTCAGAACCAGTGCATGAAGTGGGTGACTGTGATATCCTTATTTATTATTACTAATTTGTTCTGCGGCTAGTCTGTGTGTCACCAAGTTATTCGGATTTCCTGTGGACTTCAACAGAGTGACAAATCAATGGCCTGACGGACTACTCCCATTGTATAGCTAGCCTCCGGTCTAGAATTTTAGATGGGTAACTGTTAATTTTCTTTGGGCTCAGTTTGGAAGGACTATAAATATAAATATATAGAAAATAAAATCTTGTATATTATATTATTTTGTATATATTTGTATTTATAAACTCAGTTTGGAAGGATTTTCATTCTCTCAATATATTTGTATTTGTATTCCTTTCAAATTAAGCACGGCAGTATTTTTAGGCTTGGATTGAACCGGATTTGTTATGAATTTTCCTGTTGGTTGAAATTCATTGGGTTGCAACTTGCAACACTCCCACTCCCACTCCCGATCGTGTTTGCTTGGTGGGAATTTTCCTTGGAATCCAAACAATCAAGGGCGCCATCACATCAAAAAGTTTGAGGAAGGGTGGTAGGTTCGAATTCACGGAAAGGACAGATCCGACGTTAATGCCATCGGAGATTTTCTTGCATCGATCTCTACCAAGTACCCTATACCAGTATACCGGTGGCGGTGTGCATGATTTTGATTCTGTCTCCGACCAATCCGGGATCTTAATTAGCATATAACACGGCCAAAGCAACCAATAAATGACATTGAGAATTCATCAAAATTGACGGGGACTGGGAGTGGTTTTGGGGGATATGTGGATCAGACTCTCAACAGTAAGGTCTTCGAATCATAACCACCCACTCTCAGACTCTCAGTTTTGAGAGTGAGAGTGATGTGATGAATTACACTCACAAGTCACAAGTCACAACCACCCCGTGAATTTTGATGATTTTTTTTTTTTATCGATTGGTTTACAACTTAATGCAAAGGCCTCGAGTTCACGGGGAATCTTCGGCCGTTTCATGCATTTGCCCCACTCATTCCTTTCCTTGTCCTTTTTGACTCTGGAAAAATGTTATTTTACCCCACACCCGTGATAGTGATTACTGATTAGTGTGTATCAGTATCATGCACGGGAAGCTCTTACAGTTTCCGTTTGTTAAGAGTGTTAAATAGAATGAAAATACCAAATATATATGGTACATTCTGGTCCATGTAATTTGCATTGATAAATTTATTTTATTTTTAATGGGTGTAAATACGAATCCTGAGATTGAAAATTAACATTGATCATCTTTGAGTGATAAGTTTACATTATATAATTGAAAATACCAATTATAGCTCTCATTTTAGATGAAAATATGCCTTCAAAATTGTGAAAGCTATCACTTTCATTATATAAATGCATTATTATCAAACACCATCAAAACAGGACCAGAATGCATACAATTAAGGGTGCAATTCGGGTTGGCCCAAGTTAACAGTTTACATTGTTTCGGATTCAAGTTTCAAGTTGAGCCCATTGAAATATTGTTAAAATCCCAATCCTCCCACTAATTAAAGAAAAGTTGCACCCTTACATACAAATATATATGCATCCAATGTTTTTGAACTTTAGTTGACCCAACAGTTGGACCATTCAGCCCATGAATCATGCAGGCAACCGGTTCCATTTCACCCTTAACCCGTTTATTGGCCAAAAACCATTGACTTGGTCAACAATCCATCGACCCATTCGACCTGAACAATGGTTTTTTGTTATTTTTTATATTTCTTTATTTTTTTTAAAATTAGAATGGACCATCTATTCGAATTGGACAATCAAATCAGTGGCCAAAGCAGTGTCCAGTTCTAGGTTGGTTTTTAAAACATTGTATGCACCAAATGTGCATTGTACTACTCTTTATGAGAGTTTGGATATACTCCTCGTAGATTGTGCCTCACAGCTCGTTTAGCCATGCATCTAAAATCAATGCTTTAAAAACCGACCCGAAGGTCGAACCATTTTTGCCTCCAAGTCATAAGTCACCGGTTCGACCGTGCCACATATGTGTATGTATACATGTATATATATATGTGAAGTAATACATATTTTATCAATAAATAATGTATAATATGTTTTAGATATGCTATATGTATTATTTTATATTTAATTTACGTTTTTAAATTTATTTTTTTATTTATAAAAATATTAAAAATTGCTATTTGAGGCCAAAAAGTTTTTTTTTGCAAAAATAGCGGGGCAAGGCACCTATGTCACCTTGGGACGCATAGATCTTGAAAAGTTACCAAAAATCAAAAACATGATCACCCCAATCGGACATCAAAGTGCAAAGTTATGGCCTCTGAAAGTTTACATGCATTGAGTGTGCAGCCTGCAACCCGGTAATCAGGTCGAGCAAGTTGACAGTTGAACCGACCGGGTCAAACGGTTTTTAACAAACTCAATAGTTATTGACCAATAGTTGGGTTTTAACAAAATTGAACCCAAAATCCTGATCAAATGATGGTTCAAACGGTTCAATCGATCAAGTCAATAGCGAGTTGAAAATCATTGTCAAAAACATCTCATACTTGGAAATACTTATTCATGGGAAGATGTTCCCAATGCACACCGAAACATGCTGGTAGGTGCTTTCAAAAAAAGAAATGGAAAAATCTTGATCGGTACCTTATATTTTAGGGGTTGTCTCAAGTCCCCGAACTTCAAAACGTGTCTATTCATTGCCTGAATTTCCAAAAACTTTCTGAGTTAACTGACGTTAACCAATAAGTGAAATAGCATAAATATCTATCAGGTATTATCTAATTTTCTTTATTTGTCAATTCCACGTAAACCAATCCAAATTCTACCAAAAAATCCTCACTGAGATATCAAGAAGTCACTTCTCCCTCCTGATCCCAATATTCACATCCATTCCTTTAGCCGAGCGCCCACCCACTCTCTCTTCCCCATTTGAGCAGGCAAAGCCAATCAACCATACTCTTTTGGCAATCATCTATTGACATTTTTGGTGCTTCTTTGCTCGGATGGGGCGATGGATACTACAAGGGTGAAGAAGATAAGATGAAGAGGAAGGGGATGGTTTCTCCGTCAGAGCAGGAGCACCGAAAAAAGGTATTCAGGGAGCTCAATTCTTTGATTTCCGATTGCTGAACAAAATCTACAGCCATCCATAACTGTATCAACGTATTCTTGGAGAATTTAAAATTCCTGGGACAGAGGTAGAGATAATACCTCTGTTAGTTAGTTGGTCAAGGTGTTACCAGTTGAACATCAGTCCTCATTTACTGTGTATAGTTTACCGTTGATGGACTGAATTAACTATAAACCAAAAGCAAACAGTTCTAATTCTGATTCATTCAAAATAGTAATCACCTTTATGACTAACTGAATCAAATAAGTTCAAGTTTAGAACATACCTCAAAACGCCATAACCACTCTGTTAATATCCTCGTAGAAATCGATTTGTATGTGGTTCAGCCTTTGACCTTTCAAATAAAGTCCAGTTGCATGGACGCTATCTTCTTGACCAAATCAATGTATTCGACTGAAATAACAATCT